TTTTTTTTTTCTTCCAGAATACATTTTTCCTTTTATGAAAGTCAGTGGGAAAATACAGTTCCCTTTCCAGTGTTTTAAAAAATCACTTTTCTGGAACGTATCTACTTAACTGACAATTTAATAACAAACCCTCAGTGAGATGACAGATGTTTAGATATACAATGATAAAATGAAGTTTTTTCTTTGTTTTAGCAATTACTTTTATCATTTAAGAGAACGAAGTTTATTTCTATTGGTGCTCATAATGCTGAGGGATTTTATATTGAAGATCTGAGGTTTCCAGCAGGAAAAACCCTCTCATAAATTTAAACACAAGTGAATCTTCAGTCTATAATCAAAATCTGTTTAATGTCTCAAAAGCACCAGAAGCCTCGATTACAGGCAGAAAATTCATACTTTACTAAAATTTACAGCAGAGGGGCAGGGAGTCCTGAGGAGTTTAGAGTACATTTTAAAGTCCTGACTGCTCCTTTCCATATCCCAGCCATCTGAGACACCAGATTGTGACTATTTCATGACAGGCCTGGATGACAGGCATGTTTCAAATACTGATGTCTCAGTGTATTTAAAACTTCCAGTTCTTTTTCTTACATTTGAGGTTACGGATCTGTATATGGGAATGAGACCCTCAAGAAATTCTGGCTAGTGACACACAGCAGAAGTGGGTAGCCACGCTGTGTTATCTTTAACTGACTGAAGCTGGCATGGGGATAAAGCATGAGCCAATCCTGCTAACAATCAACCGTTTCTTTCCTCCCCTCAACCTCCACCTCCCCGTCTGGAGTTTTGGGATAAAGAAAAGCATTTTATCTTTTGGGGGTGGGGGGAGTTGATAGGAAAAAGTCAAACATTTAAATTTGAATTCTTCATGGAGTTACTCATGGGTTTTGGTTGTTTTTTTTTTAATTTCTGGCTTTGGTTATTTTTCAAACATAGAGCTCTTTAGAGAAGTCAAGTTTGTTGATTTTTAAAGACTCCAGTGTTGCACTATAAAAGTTGATTTATGCTCTCTGATATCATCAGAAGGTTTATCATTGAAACAGTATCCAAATCGTCTGTGCACTCTTAGTGCACAATACGAATTAGTTCTTGTGTCACTGTACTTATGAGTAAGGAATTCCAAGCTAAACACACTTGGTGGTATCACATACAGGGTTTGGAGAAAAAAAAAAGCAAGTCATGGAGTCCAGCATGGTGGTGCATCCCAGCATTAGGGAAGCTAAGGAAGGATTCTGTTCAAGACCAGCCAGTCTGGGGATGAAGGATGGGGCTGTCCACTAGATGAATTGGAGTCATACAGAGTCAAGTTTGGATCCATAGCACCCACATCAAACCTGAAAGGTAATTGCCATGCTCAAGAAGTGGAGATTAGAGATCCCTGCATGACCTGACTTTGTAAATAATGTGGGAAGTTATGGAGCAAGATAGCCAACAATGCCAACCTCAGGTCTTCATATGCATCATACCTATAAATACATGTGCTTGTGCACAGTCAACCATGCATGCACATATATACATGCATACCACACACAGTATACATGTTAAAAATGGAGAGAATAAAAGGATGCAGGGAGGAGGAGAGGGAAGACAGAAATAGGAAGGCAAGAACTGGAATTAACAGTCAAACATTAGAATGGTTTCAGAGCAGCAACTTCTACTCAAGATAGGTTTTGCACTGTCTAAAAGGAGTTACGAAATCCTATGAACAGAGTGCATGTTCTCTGATATCAGATGTCTGAGTCTGAATTCCATTCCTACTACTTCTTAGAGACGGGGAAACTGAAGGTGAATTTCTTTGGTCCTTGTGTGAAAAACAATGTTACACAAAACAATTGCTTGCTAACTTCTACAAGTAAGGTAATGATTCAATAGGATGACACACTAAGGAGAAGACCAGACATCTTTTAGGTGCTTAGTAAACATCAGCTGCGTTCACTTTCCATGTCATCCTTATATTCCTGGAATCTGTCATCTACAGTCACCAAACACACTAAAAGTTATGATTGTATTTTCACCTCCTGGTCTCAAATTCATTTCCTCCTAGCTTCGTTTACATTCTTCTACTTTCAAAATTTATTGTATCTCATCTTGGCATTTGATGTTTGTACCATAGTTAATAAAGAATGAACTTCCACTCTTGCACTGTGTTAGTTTCTTATTCACTACCACTAAATGCCTGAAAGAAATAATTTAAAGAAGGGATCATTTTGGCTCACAGTCTCAGGGTGCAGTCCACCATGGTAGCTGGTCACAGTGACTCTGTAGTCAGGAAACAGACAGCAATGAATGCTGCGCCTGGGGCTGCTTCCTCCTTTCTATCCAATCTAGGCCTTCTGCCTGAGGGATGGCACCACCCACATTAGGATGGGTTGTCCCACATCAATTAACTTAACCTAGCAATTCCCTCACAGACATGCTGGAGGCTGTTTCCATGTTGACTCTGGATCCCCTCAAGCTGACACTCAGACCAACCCTCATTCCCATGCTTGAGAACATACTAATACTTACTAGCTGCCAGAGAGCAGCACGCTACAAGAGAGAAACTGTCATTAAAAGATGGCAGCTATATTCTTCTAAGACCAACATCAAAGAAAAATGGGGGACAAAATGAGGGAAAAAATGAGCAATGTATTCTTTCAATGAACAAGGCTCAGCCATCAGCAGAAAGAGAGACAGGATAGCCTGTCTGCCTATTCAATTGCTGATTTTGTATAACAGATCATTGATTCAAAATTGATGAAATCACATTCATCTATCATAAGGGGAAAAAAAGTAGATATAAAATAGAATAGGCTGACAGTGGTTCAGAGCAATTCTTACAGTTCTATATCAATTAGGAAAGTAAAAGAATTATTCCATGTATTCAAAGACTCTCCTGGAATTTCAAGTTGAAACTTAACTTGAATTAATAATAATAAAAAGAGAGAAAAAAAAAACAGTCACCACTGAGCCTGGGGACAGTGTGCACATACTCCTTCTTTTTGTCAAGAGTTCACAAAATCATCAATACTTTCATCTAAATTCCAGGAGAAGGCTAGATAAGTTTCCTCAGTCTGCCCTGGGTCCCCAGGAGTGGACAGAGAGGCTTACCCATACTCATCCTGATGGGCAGGTTTTCTCTGCTGGCTGCTTCCACTAGATGTCTCCGAACTTCCATCACTGCCTCTTTGTGCTTGGTGTTCAATAAGGCTTCCCAGAGGGCCTTGCCTGAGGTGTCACTACAGTGAAAGCACAAAAACAGCTTAGAATAAATTCCTATGGGGAAATGGGAAGGACTAGAGGAAAAGAAAAAAAAAAAAACGCTAGCATTATAAGCATGAATGCAGTCATTCCCACTGGTAAGTATTAACTCAATACAGGATATCTAGTTCATATAATAGGCAGAGTATTGAGAAATTAAGGGGACAACAAAATCAAAACACAAGGAGAAGAAAAGCTACATTGTTCCATGAAAATATGAGAAAATTATGTGTTAGATGTATTTTTAAGATTTTTCAATTGAAAGTAGGTCACACTGCAATTTACTGCTAAGCAAACATTAATGTCATATAAGTCAAAATTAAATGTAAGGCTAAAAATGACTTATCAGTACTTACAAGCACTGTGTCAACTTGAGATAGCATACTGTCTGAGAAGCACAGAGAAATCCTTAATGAGAATTCTTCTTTGAATTCTCAATAGACTTCCTTATTAGCAGAGTTCCTACTGAATAAGAATGAGGGCTTGCACTCAGTAGCAGGCCCTGAAGTATTCCACTCCAGGCCTTTGGTTGGAACGATGGCACTTATGGAAGCCTTCACAATTATCTGTTGATAGCTGCCCCAAGCACTGCATTATTCAGGGTCTCATCTGGGTTCACTTCCCAGTAGCTCTCTGTCTCATCCACCATGCTGTGTCCTCATTATAAATGGGTGCAGTGTTCTATCCGGAAGGCCACTGCCACAAAGCCAAGTATACACATTTGTAGTAACATTTTCAAACCTCCATATAAAGGAAACAAGGATGACTTCTGTCCTCTCTCCACTTAAAGCCCCACTAACTCACACACTAACCTCTCAGTAGAGTAGGAGCTCTTATTATCACTACTTTTCCATAGTGAAGTAACATCTTTAAACACTCAAAACTATAATTCCTCTGATGGTTATATTGTCTGCAGCCTGACAGACTGAATGATACAAAGAAACTCAGGAAAACACATTTCTCATTATCTGTGAGGATGTTTCCAGAGGGTTAGTGAACTGAGCAGGGAAGACCTGACCTCAATGTGAGCTACAATGTCCAATATTTTGGGGCTCTGGGTGTAACTGGAAATGGAAGGAACAGGGGACATTGTGAGCCTGGGTTTGACTCTTAAGTGTGGGCATTCTGTCACTGATGCCACTGCTTATAGGCACAAGACTCTACATTCAGCTTTTGAATGCAGACTGACATCAGAGACTTACAAGAAACTTCCAGGCCTTCATCCTAGGCCTGGGGCTAGACCTGCCCCTCACTGTTCCCCTACCTGGATGTTCTGGATGTTCCCCTAGCTGGATGTTCTGAGGCATCCAGCTTCTTCGCCTGAACAGCTACCTCTAACTTTCCAGCTGCCCACAGCTATGGTGGGACTCCCAGTCAGCACACGTTTAAGCCCTTTATATAATTATATACTCAGTCGTTGTGCTCCTCTAAAAGACCCTAATGGAACTCTGCATCTAGTATCCTTACGTTTAATTAAATGAATGGGCAAATTACATGCCATGCCCTATATGTGACTGGCAATCACATAAAATAAACTTCCAATGACAAAATCTGGAAACTTATATATTTATAATACATAAGTAAAAATACTACAAAAATGTGATATGCATTATGATTGATGACTAAATAGGTTCTATGCAAATGTAATCCTATCTGGGAGATAGGGGCTGAGAGAATAATTTCTACTATAAACAATAAGTATAAGCCCTAAATGCAGCCAAAGGAAGAAGTTATAACTCAGCTTAGGAGGGGGAATGGTAAAGGTGGCTCAAAGATATTATCATGTTATAGTTACAAGCAGGAGAGAGGGGCATTTTAGAATGCACAAAACCATACATGTAAGACCTAAGACTGTGCTCCTTCCTAAAGATATAAGGGTAAGTTAGACACAGATGGTCTTCATTATAATTCAAAAGTAGGCCTATTTTCTACGGGGTTTCCAAGAAAACACCCAATTTCTCTAAAGACTGGAATGCAATAGGGAACCACTGAAGAATGCTGAGAAAGGAATTTACACTTTCAGCTTCCAAAACTTATGGTCTACAATCACACCGTATCTTTTTCCATTAAAAGTACCTCTCCCCAGAACCAGGTCTCCAGAATAGACCATCACTACCCTCTTCCTTTTCCATGAGAATATGCATCTCATTAAGACAGTGCATCTCCAAGATCACATGAATTAGCTAATGCTGTGACTGCCCATTAGCTTATAGAAGTGACTAAAATGCACATTCTGGAGTCAAGATAAACTTGTGTTGAAATTCCAAGCATTATCCCTATCACCCAGTCCAAATATACTGCCTGTTGTACAATCATCTTAAACATAGGACTTCTTTCTCTTCCTTGCCAAGAACTTTCTTCCTAAAAACATGCCCCTACCAACTGTCTCTTCTAAAATGTCACCTTACCAGAGAGGGATTCTTGCATAAACAATGCTGAATCATGCCAGTACCTTATGCTAACCCACTCTCACCTCTTCACTGGACTTCATGGACCTACCTGATCTTTATAATATCACTAGACTTATTGTATGTTTCCTTACTTAACTGTTGCATACCATGCTCATGAAAGATGAAGTACTTCCGGGAAAGCAGGGACTTTGTTTGACTCCTTGTAAATGCCTCATTAGCTAGAATGTGACCAAGTCTGTGGCAGGTCTATCAATAAATATTAAATAAATTATATTGCCAACTGTGTATTTTTGTGCATATAATGAGTTCTCTACTTTCCTCACCTATCTCATTTATGATGATAGTAATATGAATGACTTCCCAGATTCAATGCAAGATTTTACATAAAGCTCTTTTCTGACTCCTTAAATTTTAAGAAGCTATGTTGTTGCTGCTACCATTACTACTGTGATTGAACATCTTACAATGGGGTCTTCCACAGCTTGATATGCTTAAGTGTTTAATATGTAGGACAAATCCACTTAATTATCAAATGTTCTTATTCATAAATTCCTAGTTGTACACATACACCTACTCCAGGTTCACTCTCTAACACCTTAGAAGAAATACAGACTTAAAGAGATTCCTAACATTGGCACATAGTTGTGGCCTCTTGAAAACTTTTGTTGATATAAACAGTTCCATTTTGTCTGATTTCACAATGTGTACTTCCTGTTCTAAGCAATTTATTTTATTTCATGATTACTTTTTGTGTATGTTGTGTGCATGTGATATGTGTAAGTGAATGCAGGCATGTATAGCATTGTGTGTGCATATCACAGCACATGATTGGAAGTTAGAATACCATTTTTAAGAATTGGTTCTCTCCTTCCTCTGATGTGGGGATAGAACTTAGTGCATCAGACTATGTAGCAAAACCTGTAACTGCTAAGCCATCATGCCAGGCCCTAAAAGGTTTCCTTTATAAATTATTTCATTTTATGTGTATGAGTGTTTCGCCCACATGTATGTCTAAGCACCATGTGCATGCAGCATCTGCAAAGGTCAGAAGAGGGCACTGGATCCCCTGGGACTGAAATTATAAACCACTGTTAGCTTAGATGTGGATGCTGGGAACTGAACTTGGATCCTCTGGAAGAGCAACCAATGCTCTCTTAAGTGCTAAGCCATCTCTCCAGCCCCTCTGACAAAAACTTCTTACACTATCATGCTACCTCCAAATCAAAGATGGCCATCTTAAGTTTCCCAAGCAAATATCCATGAACTAACTTGGGTTTCTGAATAAATGGAATGAGGACAATCAAAGCCATACTATATTAGTTACTGCTTTTCACTGCTGTGACCAAGTATATGACAAGAAGTAACATGACAAGAGAGAGGAAAGCTTTATTTTGGATTAGGAAGTAGGGAAATACATACAGCCCATCATTTCAGGGGAGAGATGCTAGTGGGAACAGGAAGTAGCTGGTCAGATTATGTCTTCAGTCAGGAAATAGAGGTTTGACTATTCTGTCTCAGCTCACTGTCTCTGTTTTCAGTCTGGGACCTAGTCCATGGGAAGCTGCCACTCGCATTCAAATGGATCTTCCCTCCTACATTAAACTTGCCTGAAACACCAACACAGACACATCTCTGGGTATGATTCTAAATCTCAAATTGAGAGTCAAGATTAACCATCACAAATATATCACTTAGCATACCACCCCTGACCTCAAATATCCATGAGCATTTTATAATGTGCAATACATTTACTTCATCTGTAATAAATCTTCCAAATGTTAACAGTTCTAATATTGTTCAAATGCCAAAAATCCAGAGTCTCGTGAGACTCAAGGCACACTAAGATCCCACAAAATCAAAAACAAGTTACAAATTTTCATTATACAATGGCACATTCCAAAGGGGAAGAGTGGGGCTATCGAAGGAAATATTACACCTAAGTAAACCCAAAAACCAGCAGAGAAAACACCAAACCCTAAAGCTCCATATCTAACATCTAGGGCTTATGGTAGAATCATCTGGACTCTACAGTCTACAACACATGTGGGTCCTCTCATGGACTGTCTCCCTTCTATTTCCTCAGTGTATGGCTCATGGTCCTGGAACCTCCAACTGTAAGGTCTCCACAATAACTTAGGTTTCCCCATCACAGTTTCATGTAATGGACTCTTAGGAACTCCTTGCAGGGAATTCTGTCTTATTACACATTGACTGGCCCCAGAAGCTTTCTTGGATTTTGGTAAAAAGCCTCTATGACCCTGCATGCCTTGTTTGTGTGCCTAAAAACCAATACCATGTAGATGACATTGTCAAATCCTGCTGCCAAGTAAAGATACAGTCTGATATCTATCCATCTCACACATACACTTCTTTTACAGCAGTAGTGAATTCTATATGCCCTAGAAGCGTAACTTGAAAATATGGAGAAATCGAGTTGTCATTAGTCAGGAAGCTCCCTTCCTCCCTGTTAGTTAGCATTTGTAATATCAGAAGGTGCTCTTCATACTTCTGGGGATATGAGCAGAGAATAACCAACAGTCTTACACGGCTGTGACCTCTGTGAGCTA